ATTTTTTTTAGGGTGAGAGGCCGCCCTGGAACTCGGTTTTCCAATGATTTTCAGGGCGAAAAAAAAGGTGAATTTTATCCCTTTTTTTTCTTTTTTCTTTTTTTTCTTTTTTATACTTGATGTGATTCTTAATTAATTTCTTTAAATCATGGAGTCAAGGGTTTGATTTTTAATTAAAACCATTCCAAGGTCGGGGAGGGGCGCGTGGTTCATCCAGGAATTTTGGGAAAATTGGGAAATGCTGATTAAAAATCCTGGCAGCTCTCCAGGGACTGAGGTCACTCCTGGATCCTGTTTTTCCTGGGAATTCCGAGCCTGGAGCTCCCCGGGATTTAAGGAAGGGAATTTTGGGATCCTGGAGGGGTTTGGAAAATCGCTTTTATTCCAGGGGATTCTGGAATAAAGGATTCCGGGTTTTTTCCTTTTTTCCTTTGTTTTCCCCCTTTTTTATTCTTTCTCCTTTTTTTCCTTCTTTTTTTTTCTTTCTTCTTTTTTTTCCTTCTTTTTCTTCTTTCTTCTTTTTTCCCTTCTTTTTTCCTTTTCTTTTTTTCTCTTTTCTTTTGCCCTTCTTTTCCCCTCTTTTCTCTCATTTCCCCACCCCAGCCTGGATTTCCCGCCCCTCCTCTCCCGCTCCTTCCAAGTGCGAGATTCCCTGGGAAAAACTGGGAAGTTTTCCCATGGAATCACCCCAAAAATCCCATCTTTGTTAATCTCAGTCCCTGCTTTATTCCCGAGGTTTATTCCCGGGCGTGTCCCGGCTGCTCCCGGGACAATCCCAGGGCAAAATCCAGCCGGGAAAATTCCTGAGGAACGGGAAAAGGCCAAAGGGTGCCCGGGGCCGCATTCCCGAGGGATTCGGGGTTCCGGGAAAAGGCGGAGCCTCGGGAAGTTCTGAATTCCTCTGGAATTTATTTCAACCCATTCCAAACCCTGGGCTGCTGCTCAAGGGCTGGGAATTCCGAATTTCCTTCGATTCTCACTGAAATCTGGGATAAAGTTCGGGAATCTCGGGCTTTAAGGAATCTCGGGAATTCCGGGTTTCCAGCGGGATGCGGAGCCCTTGGAGCTGCCGAACTCGATCCCTTCAATCCCCACTAAAATTCGGGATAACGATTCGGGAATTCCGGGTTTTCAGCAGCCTATCCCTTCAATCCTTCCCTAAAATTCGGGATAAAGATTCGGGAATTCCGGGTTTTCAGCAGCCTGTCCCTTCAATCCTTCCCTAAAATTCGGGATAAAGGTTCGGGAATTCCGGGTTTCCAGCGGGATGCGCGGGGCCGCTCGGAGCGGCCGCTCCCGATCCCTCTGTCCCTCCGTGTCCCCCTGTCCCCGCCCGGTGTCCCCGCCCGTGTCCCGGTGTCCCCGCTCTGTCCCCGCCCGGTGTCCCCGCCGCTGTCCCGCTGTCCCTGTGGCTTTAAGGCGCTGCCCGGGGCAGTCCCGGGGCCGAAGTCCGCGGGCCCGGTGCAGGCGGCGGGGCCGGGATGCAGCTCCCGCAGGGCCCGGCCGCCCTGGCCGCCCCCCTGCTCGCCCTCCCGGTGGCCTTGGGGGTCAGCGCTGTCACCTCCCTGGAGTGAGTGGGGACCGGGAGGGACCCCGGGAATGGGGACCGGGAACGGGGAACAGGGAGTAGGGAATGAGGAGTGGGGAGTGGGGACCGGGAGGGACCCCCAGGAATTGGGGAACGGAAAAGGGGAAGGGGGAGTGGGGTCCTGCCCGGGGAGGGGTTTGGGAGCGGCCCCGCTGCTCCGGGAGTGGGATCGGGCTGGGACGGGAGCGATCCCGCCTGGAATCGGTGTCACATCCTCAGGGACACGTCCGGACCTGGCAGCTGCGTCCCAGCCAGGGGACAGGGCTTGTCCTGGATCCGGGAATACATCCCGGGACAGGGGACAGGGCTTGTCCTGGATCCGGGAATCCATCCCGGGACAGGAGCTGGATCTATCCCAAATCCGGGAATGCATCCCGGGACAGGGGACAGGGCTTGTCCTGGATCCGGGAATCCATCCCGGGACAGGAGCTGGATCTATCCCAAATCCGGGAATGCATCCCGGGACAGGGGACAGGGCTTGTCCCGGATCTGGGAATCCATCCCAGGACAGGAGCTGGATCCCGGCCTGGAGACCCCTCCCGGAGAGCCCAAATCCCGGGAATTCGGGTGATCCCGGCATGGGGAGAGCCCAAATCCCGGGAATTCGGGTGATTCCGGCCCATCAGCGGCAATTGGGGTTTTCTGGGAATGCGGGATCGGGGCCGTGCCGGGTTCTGGAGCGTTCCCGATCCCACAGCGGCTCCCCAGGCCTGGCCCTGGCAGCGATCCTGGTGCTCTTCGGCCTCGTCTCCCTCCTCATCCTCACCGGCGGCGCCGGCCTCGTCCAGGACCCGCTGTTCTGCGGTGAGACCCCCGATGGGATCTGGGATTTGGGATATGGGATTCGGGATTTGGGATGCCCCACACAGAGCAGGGATTCGAGATTTGGGATTTGTGATTTTGGGGGGCCCCACACGGAGCCCCCCCGCTCCCCGCAGTGTTCGTGGTGTTTTCCTTCGCGTCGGCCGTGGATTTGATCATCGCGCTGGAGGAGGACGGGATCATCTCGGGCTTCATGGAGCTCTACGTGCGGGAGGTGCCAGCCCTGCCCCGCACCCCCACCCGGGCACCCCCGGTGTCCCCCGGTGTCCCCACCCCCGGGGTGACCCCCTCGGTGTCCCCTCCCAGTGTGACCCAGTGTCCTCACCCCCGGTGTGACTGGGTGTCCCCTCCCCGTGTCCCTCCCGGTGTGACCCCCCGGTGTCCCCGCTCCCGGTGTCCCCACTCCCGGTGTCCCCACTCCCGGTGTCCCGGTGTCCCCATTCCCGGTGTGACCGGCTGTCCCCACTCCCGCTGTCCCGGTGTTTCCATTCCCGCTGTCCCCCAGGGCGATCCCCACCTGCGCACGGCTCACGGGCTGCTCACCTGTTACTGGGACGGCACCGTGCACTACGGGCTGTGCCTGGCCATGGCCGGCGCCCTGGGGAAAAGGTGCGCGGGGGATCCCAAATTCCTGGGGAGGGGGAGAAGGGGACGGGAGAATCACGAATTTCCTGAGGAGGGGGCTCGAAAATCCTGAATTTCCCGAGGTGGGGGACGGAGGGATCCCGAACTTCCTGAGGAGGGGGTTTAGGAGGCCCGGAAAATCCCAAATTTCCTGAGGAGGAGGCTCGGGGGGTGGAGAATCCCGAATTTCCTGAGGACGTGGATGAGGGGTGCTGGAGGATCCCGAATTCCTGAGGAGGGTGTTTAGGAGGCCTGGAAAATCCCGAATTTTGAGGAGGGGTCTCCCGCTGGGTGACAAATCCCGAATTTTGAGGAGGGGTCCCCTGTCCCCGCAGGAGGAGTTACCGCGCGCTGGGTCTGTTCTGGCTGGGCTCGCTGTTCATGAGCGCCGTGGTTTTCCTGCTGGGCAACCTGATCGGTACGGCCGTGGGGACGAGGAGGAGGAGGAGGAGGAGGAGGAAGGCTCCGTGCCCACCCTGCTCTCTCTCCCGCAGGGAAATACAGCTCCGAGCTGAGCCCGGCCTTCCTCCTCAACCTGCCCTACCTCCTCCTCCTCACCTGGACCGGCCTCCGGCTCTTCCGGCAGCCCCGGGCTCTGTCGAGCCTCAGCCCCGAGAAGGTGAGGCCGGAGCGATTTTTTGGGGTTTTTTTGGGGGGAGGTGGGTGGGTCAGAGGGTGCAGACCCCCCCAAAAAATCCCGAATTTCCTGTGGCAGATCGCAGAGGAGCAGCGCAAACCTCTCTACCAGCGGCCGCAGGATCTGCTCCTCATCCTCATCCTCATCCTCACCGCTGCCTTCACCTTCTTCAGGGGGATGGTGAGCGCTGGGGGGGCTCGAGGGGTCCTGGGGGGGTTCGGGGTTTCTGGGAGGGGCTTTGAGGGGTCCTGGAGGGGTTCAGAGGGGTCTGGAGGAGCTCGGGGGGTTCCTGGAGCCTCCCGGGGAGGATCTCGGGGGTCCCAGGGAGGGTCCCGGGGGTCCCGGGAGGGTCCCCTGCCCTCGCCCACCCCTGCCCTCCCCAGGTGGTCCTGGACTGCCCGGCCGATTCCTGTTTCGACTACACCTACCTGCACGAGCCTTACCTGCGCGACCCCGTGGGCTACCCCAAAGTGCAGGTGAGAGGGAGGGGCCGGACCCTCCCCGGACCTCCAGGTGCCACCAGGGCCACCAGGGGTGACAATGGGGCGCTGGGCTGTCCCCCCAGATGCTGATCTACCTGTTCTACCTGCTGCCCTTCCTCCTGCTCGCCATCTACGGGCTGGCCTGGCCCGGCTGCTCCTGGCTGCCCGACTGGAGCCTGCTGGTCGCCGGCGCCGTGGCTCAGGTGGGGAAAAATCCCGGGATTTTGGGGGGAAAAATCCCAACCGGGAGGGGCTCCGAAATCCCGGGATTTGGGGAGGAAAAATACCAGCTGGGGATCGGCAAATGGTTGGGGCTGGGTTTTGGGGGTAGCTCCCAGTTTTTTGGCGGTAAATCCCAGTTTTGGGGTGCAGATCCAGGTTTGGGGGGGGGGGGCAGATCCCGTTTTGGGGTGTAAATCCCAGTTTTCGGGGGTAAATCCCAGTTTTGGGAGGCAGAGACGCTGCAAGTGGAGCAGCTCGGCTGGCAGAAAATTGCTTTGGGCCTCGGTGGATTTGGACAGAACTCGGGATTAGTGGGACAGAAATAGGATGGAGCGAGAAGCGGGGCTGGAGATTGGATGGGCCGGAGCCAAAAACCCCCGGAGGGCCGGGGCACCTTTAGGGCCGGGGCTTTGCCCTTTGGGGTGGGGGTTTCTCACCTTTTGGGGCCGCTCCCCCCTGACGCCCCCATCCCACGCGCGTGTCCGCAGGCTCAGTTCGCCCACCTGGGCTCGTCCCTGCACTCCCGCACGCCGTTCCCGTACCAGACCCCGGACGAGGTCCTGTGGAGTTTCCTGCTCTCCAATGTCCTGTACGCGCTGGGCCCGCAGCTGCTGGCGCTGCGCTGCCTGCGCTCCCCGGCCTTCTTCCTTCCCGCCGCTGCCCCGGGCCTGGCCCGTGCCAAAAAATACCAGTGACGTGTCCTGATCGTCCCCCTGGCACTCGTGTCACCACCCTGGGGCTGCTGTCCCCATCCTGAGGGTGTTGTCCCCACCCCTTGGGGTTTTCTGTCCCCACCCTTCGGGTCCCGCTGTCCCCTCCCCGGCGGATCCCGCCCGGGGCCTCCGCCCCGCTCCGAGCGCTGGGACCAGAGGCGTCCCCAGAGTGTCCCAAAGGTGTCCCAGAGATGTCCCCGAGGTGTCCCCAGGGACGCTGCGCTCCCCCAAAAGCCGCGGGGACCTCGGGAGTGTCCGCGGGGACATCGCTGCGGTGCCAGCGCTGCCCTTGTGGCACTGCTGGGGGACGCAGGAGCCGCGGTCCCGCCCGGGGGTCTCGGGGGGTCCCGGTGGGTCCCGGTCCCATCCCGGTGCCCCAGCCCGGGCTGGGAGGGCTCAGGGCTGGGCACAGCGCCGGGGGGCACAGCTCTGCTCACCGAACCAAGGAGCCGAGCTCCGCTCCGAGCCCCCCGTGCCCGGCGGGGACACCGGGGCTGGCCCCGCAGAACCCCCGGATCCTTTTTGGGGGGCTGGGGGCGACTGGGCCGGGAGTCCCTGTGGGTGCCTGGGTGCCCGCGGGTGGGCAGGGGGTTCGGGTGGGCTCAGGGTTGGGTGGGTGTGAGCTTTTGGGGGTGGTACCGGGATTTTGGGGTGGGTGCCCAGGCTGGTGCTGGGTGGGCACAGCCGCCCTTGCCGTGCCCGCGGCGGGGATTTACCGGACCCAGCTGCTCGTGGCCCGGCCCGGGGGTCCCGGCAGTACCGGGGGGCTCCGGGGGATACCGGGCGGGGCTCGGTGACCTTGGCGAGCAGCCGGCAGCGGGGCAGGGCCGGCCCGAGCTCTCGGTGTCGCCCCCTGCGCGGAGCCGCACCGGCGGTACCGGGGGAGGCACCGGCGGTACCGGGGAGGTTCCGGGGAGGTACTGGGGGAGGTTCCGGGGGAGGCACCGGCGGTACCGGGGGAGGTACCGGGGGAGGTTCCGGCAGCTCGGGCGCGTTCCCGCGGGCCGGCACCGGGCACACGGTGAGTGCGGGACTGCGGCCGCCGCTCCCTCGCTGCGGAGCGGGCGCGGGGCTCCGGGACGGGACCCCCCCGGTACCGGGAGGGACGCGGCGGGCAGGGGTCGCTTTCAGCGGGGCGGTGACGTTAACGGAGCTCCCCCCTCGCTGCGCTGTCCCCGCCCGGGCACCGGAGTTCCCGCAGCCCCGGGGCTGCCGCCGCAGTGTCCCGCACTGCAACACCGCACCGGGGCCGCGGGCGCCGAGCGCCGCCACCGGGACCGGCACCGGGATCGGCACCAGGACTGGCACCGGCATCGGCACCGGGATCAGCACCAGGACCGGCACCGGGACCCCCACGGGGCCGCCCCGCTCCTTGTGCCCCCGCAGCGAGCACCGGAATGCCCCGGGGGGGGCTTTTCCCACTCCCCCTGCCCCCACCGGGCACCGGGACACCCGTGACGGGGCCGCCCCGCTCCTTCTGCCCGCGGACCGGCACCGGGGCTGCCCTGCTCGCCCTTAGCCCGGGCTTGGCACCGGCATCACCCTGGGGGTTGCCCACCGCCCCTCGCCCCCGGGCTCGGCACCGGGAGGGTCTGACCCGCTCGTCCCGTGCTGACCGGGCACCGGGACCCCCGGGGGGGTTTGTCCACCTCCCCCAGCCCCGGATCGGGCACCAGCACCCCCGGGGGGGCTGCCCCGCTTTTTGTGCCCCTCGAGCGGACCCCGACACGCGGGGGGTCCCGGACACGGCACTGGGACCACCGAGAGGGGCTGTGCCTCCCCCTGCCCCCATCCATCCGGGGAGGGGGCACCCAGAGCCCAGCTGGCGTTTGGGGCACCCCAAGAGCGCGGGGGCTCCCCCGAGGAGAGGGGGAGGCTCCTCCACACTCTGTCCTTGGGGAGGGGGCGCGGCCGGGGGGGGGGGGGGGGGGGGGCGGGGCGCCCCCAGCCGACAATGGGCAGGGGCCCGAGAGAGTCTGAAAGCGCTGCCAGGGCTGGCCCAGTTTCAGTCCTAGCTGGACCAGGGTGGCGGGGGGGGGGGGGGGGGGGGGGGGGGGGTCTCGGGGGGCTCCTCTGCCCTCTCTGAGCCCATCGGTTCAGTTTCCAGAGGTGCCATAAATAACTCAGAGATCCGAACCGGTGCGGCTGCCATGAAATATTCATCACTCCTGGGAGCCAGCGGGGCTCGCCGAGTTCAGAGTCGGGGCTGGGGGGTCCCTGCGGGGCTGGGGAGGGGTCTCTGAGGGGCTGGGGGGGTCCCTGAAGGGTCGAGGGGGGCGAGCAGCGACCGTCCCAGCCCTGCCCGACCCCGGCTAGCAGGGGTGGGTGCCAGTGGGTGCTGGCACCCCTCGGGCTGAGCACCAGCGTCACTCCTGGGGGTTCCCCTCAGCCGCGGGGGGGTTTTTTGGGGGTGCTGAAGGCGCTGCTCCCCCTTCCCAGATGCGTCCCCAAAGCCCCTGGGCCGCTGGTCCCGCAGCGCTGCTGCTGCTCGCCACCGTGCTCGCCACCGAGGCGCTGCCCAACGGCCGCGGCAGGAAGAAGGTGGTTCATGTGATGGGTGAGTGGGGTCGGGATGTCCCGGGGTGGGATTGGGGTGGGTGTGGGTTTGGGGAACCGTCTGCAGCCGTTTTGGGGTGCTGGGTATTATGGCCATCAAAGCACGGGCTCTGATGCGTCCCCAGTGTCCCCTCCCCTGTCCTGTGGGAACCGGCCTGGGATTACCCCGAGCTCTCCTTTTGGCGTTTGCAAAGTCCGGCAAAAAAAGGAGAATTCCCCCCAAGGTGTGACCCCACATCCCCATCCTTCCTTGGCCCTGAAAGAGAGAAATTCCCCACATCCCATCCTCCTTTATCCCCCAAAATGGGAACTCAATCCAAAGGATGCTCCCACGCCCCCATCCCGCTATTCCACTTGGGACCCCCGTGCCAGCCCCGGGATGGCGGCAGGTCCCTGCTGACCCCCGTGTCCTCCCCCAGAGGGTGACAGCGGTGCCGTGGTGGTGCAGACAGCTCCGGGCAAGGTGGTGACACACCGCGGTGGCACCATCATCCTGCCCTGCCGCTACCACTACGACGTGTCCGCGCACGACCCGGCCGAGATCCGCCTCAAGTGGACCAAAGTGACGGAGCCCATGACGTTCGTGGACGTGTTCGTGGCTCTGGGCAAGGCCCGCCGGGCGTTCGGGCCGTACCGGGGCCGCACGGCCCTGCAGGAGGACGGGGTGGGCGACGCGTCCCTCATCATCCGCAACGTGACCCTGCAGGACTACGGGCGCTACGAGTGCGAGGTGACCAACGAGCTCGAGGATGACACCGGAGTGGTCAAGCTGGACCTGGAAGGTGGCTCGGGATGTTCCCCCCGGGTGGTTTTTGGGGTGAAAATCCCGGCATTTTCAGCGCCCGGGGTTTACGGGGGTTGTTATGGGGTTTTGTTGGTGGGGAGGGTTTGTGGTGGTGGCTTGTAGAAGTCGAAGGGTCAGGGGATTTTGGGGGTGGGAAAAGGGGGAAATGCTTTTTTAGGGGTTCGAGAGGTGGCAGAGGGGATGCAGTTTTGGGGGTTCCGGGTGATTTTCCCAGCCAGAATTCCCATTTCCCCAAATCCCAGAGCAGAATCTCCTGGAGTTTGGAGTTCCCAAAATCTTGCTCTCCTTACAAACCGACAAAGCTTTTCCAGACGATTCTCCTGTGCACAAATCCCACCCCTCACCCTCCATCACCCACCTCCAAACCCCCCCAAAACCCCCAAACCCCCAACCCTCCTCCCGTCCCAGGTGTGATTTTCCCGTACCACCCACGCTTGGGGCGCTACACGCTGAATTTCCACGAGGCCCAGCGGGCGTGCCAGGAGCAGGACGGGATCCTGGCCTCGCACGAGCAGCTGCACCAGGCCTGGCTGGAGGGCATGGACTGGTGCAACGCGGGCTGGCTGCAGGACGGCTCCGTGCAGTACCCGATCTCCCGGCCCCGCGAGCAGTGCGGCCGCAAGGACACCCCGGTGGGAGTGAGGAATTACGGCTTCAGGCACAAGGAGAGCGAGCACTACGATGCCTTCTGCTTCACCTCCAACCTCAACGGTGAGGGGAGGGGAAAAGGGGGAATTGGAAAGTTGGGGGGAATGGGGGTGGTGGGAAGGGTGGGCGGGGGTGGATTCCGGCTCTGGAGGGGTTTGGGGTTGTGGTTGTGCACCGGTTGTGGGGTTGGAGGATTGAGGTTTAGGGGGGAAAAAATGATATTTTTTTAGACAAACTCTCGTTTTTTTAGACAAAACCTCTCTCTTATAAATCCAAAACCTCCTTTTGTTCAATCCAAAACCTCTTCTCTCTTAGCCGAAACCCCTTTTTTAAACCCCAAACCTCTTGTTTTTAGCCAAAATGAAATGTTTCGGGTGCTCCACAGGGCTCACCTCTAGTCCCCAAAAATGTGTTCGTGGGGTCCACAGGGCTGATCCCGCTCTCCTTTCCCATCGTCTCCAAAACGTTTTTGGGGCTCCAAAGGGTTTTTATCCATCACCTCCAGTCCCAAAAACTTGCTGGGGGTCTCCACAGGGCTTCCCTCCACCACCTCCAGACCCAAAAACACGTGTTTGGGGTCTCCACAGGGATTCCCTCCAGCCCCCCAAAAACGTTCTGGGGACGCTCCAGGTCACTCGTACCCCTCACCCCACCTCACTCCGCTGCCCGAGGATTCTCCAGCACCCCCTCAACCCCTTCACCCCCCCCACTCCTTTTATTTCCAGGCAAAGTTTATTTCCTGAAAACCTTCCGCAAGCTGAGCTACCCGGAGGCCGTGCAGGCGTGCAAGAACAACGGAGCCGCGGTGGCCAAGGTGGGGCAGCTGTACGCGGCCTGGAAGATCCAGCTGCTGGATCGCTGCGAGGCCGGCTGGCTGGAGGACGGCAGCATCCGCTACCCCATCGTGAACCCCCGCGCCCGCTGCGGCGGCCGCGAGCCCGGCGTGCGCAACCTCGGCTTCCCCGACAAGAAGTACAAGCTGTTCGGCGTGTACTGCTTCAAAAAAGCCGGGGCAGCCGCGCCCGCGGGGGGTGAGGGGGCTCCTAAACGCGTGTGAGAGTTGGAGGGGTCCGGCAGCACCCCCGGGCTTGGATGGGGTCTGGATTTTTTGGGTTTTTTTCCCCCCCGCTCCTGAACCCCGCGCTGTGCGGGGAGCTGCGGGCAGCTCCTGGCTCCGGAGGGAGCGGTGGAGCCAGCGCGGGTTGGTGGCACTCGGTGACGCTTGGGGACACTGAGGTAGCGGGAGGGGGAGGGTTCGGTGAGCCCAGCCGGGAGCCTGAGCCCCGATTCGGGGTTGGCTCCCCCCGCTCCGCGCAGCTCTCGCTTCTCGACTTCGCGCCTGCTGCATGCGCTAAAAGGGCTGCAGACCCCCCGCCCTCCTCATCCTCATCCTCATCCTCATCCTCATCCTCATCCTCATCCTCACACTCATCCCCACCCTCATCCTCACCCCATCCTACTCATCCTCATCCATCTTCATTCTCATCCTCACCTTCACCCTCATCCTCATCCCCATCCTCATTCTCACCTTCACCCTCACCTTCATCCCCATCCTCATCCCCATCCCCGCTCCCGGGAGGTACCACAGCCCCTCCCCAAAGCCCCCCCGTGGCGCTGGGCAAACATTTTGGGGGGCACCGGCTTTGGCTCCGTGCCTTGGCAGCCGGGGGGGTCCCGCAGCCCCCCCGGGGCAGCTCCTGCGCGCTTGGCTTGGCCGGGGGGCTCGGGGGGCTCGGGGGGGCAGCGGGCACCGTGCCCACCCGGCCGGGCACCGCCCGCAGGCTTTGGCAGCCCTGGACGTAGATGAAATAAAAGCTTCGGCCGCTTTGGAGAGCTGAGCGCGGCTCCGCCGTGTCCTTGGGGCATCTCCCGGGGGTTGGGGGGCTCGGGGCCCGATCCCGGAGCATCCCTGGGAATTCTCGGGATGAGATCCAAGCAGCAGCGGAGCCACCCCGGCGTGTCACGGTGCTGGCAGTGACCTGGGGTCACCCTGGGGGTGGCGGGACATGGATGGGGACAGCGGGATGCGGGGACATCCTGCAGCTGAGCGCAGCCCGTTAATTACCTTTAATGAGCCGTGAAAACTAATATCTGCCGGGATGTCACAGCCCTGGGAGGGGACAGCGGGACCGTGGGTGACAGGGGAACCTCGGGGGTGGGTGAAGGAGGATGGTTTAGGCAGGAATCACCCCAAAAAATCCATCGGTGTCTCCTCATCTTGAGGGGGACGCCGTGACCACGGGACACACGTGGTGGCCACCACTGCGGTGACTCGGGGCTAGCGGGTGGCGAATGCGGCACGGGG